ACTTGATGGGAAAGAACTTTCAGTATATAAAGCACCCAAAGAATGTTTATGCAAAGTTTCACGCATATTTGTTTGTGTAATTTTTATGTTACATTAATGAGTATTTTAAAGTACTTTTTCAATTAATTTTGTTAGTTGCACAATATAAATGTGATCGTCACTTTATGTCACATTTAGTGTTAAAATCGAAAGTCCACTATGCTGACATGATGTAGAAATATAATAGAATATTTAATAATATAGAATAGATATTTATATTTATGTATATGTGGGTTGTGTAAATTAAATTAACTTCAAGGTAAAAAAGGATTTTTATATATTTATATGAAATTCAATATTAAAATCTATCTAAATTTTTATAAATTAGATTTGCTGTTTAAATGATGCTGTTTGTTTTTGATATAGAACAAATTTTGCTTTTTTATATTAAGTCTGTCTTAGATGCAATTGGTATGTAGATTTGTATTTATGTGGGTTATCATCATTATGTGTGTGATTAATAGTATAGAATTTATTTACAATTTCTTTTTTTTTATTTCCAATTTTGTGTTTTTTTTTTCATTTGGTCAATTAATTTCATTCCAGAAGCATGAATAATTGTTGTAAATTAATTAGTAGCACAACCTTATCCATAAATAAAACTATTACACAATAAGGTCACAACACTTGTAACTGACCAATCAGATCCACAAAAAGTGACAGACATTAGAGATTTAATAATATAAATATTAATAATATCCAATACATAAAATCCCAATTCAGTGCATGCATGTTATTGAAAATAAGTAGGGATAGTTCTATATATCATTTAAGGTAACAAATGGGATATTATAAAACTGTTAATTATAATCACATTACAAATGACTAAATTTTGATCCTTGAAATCTTTGGTAATACCAATGTTCACTTTGTCTGGTTTTGTTGCAGCATGCCCCATATAACAAAAGTTACATAAAACAATACCATCTGTCCACATTACCGTCTGTGCATGTTTAATTTCAGACATTTTTTGAGTAAATTGTATTACGAAAGTTGTGGGATTCAAAAGATATCAGTCGTAGGACATGTCACAAAAATTTATTTCTACTGCAAAAACATAGTAAATTTTGATGATCGGCATCGAAT